TAGTCCATACCACTGGAGATCCACAATAGCAAATACAAGAAAAAAATTCTCTTATGCTCGATTGAACTCTTAGATAGAAGGGTGATCCTCTCGACTTGCACTGGGTATCAGCCCAATCAAGTTGAAGAGCTTATAACGAAATATGTGCGTTCACCTAACAGAGGGCTTAGTCGGCTCCATATTGACTCCTAACGTATGTAACCCGGTCCCAGTGCATACATAGGTAGTGAGAGAACAAAAGCAAGGAAAGGAAACAAGAAAATAAGTATATGAAAAAAACTAGCATTACCAACGTGGAAAGGAAAATTTACATTTGTGCTCTACAACAAATCGATTAAGGTTCAATTCCTGCTTATAACATACTCGTAATATGTAATCCCTCATTGACCTAATCACTCACATATCTATATTCGGTTGTATTTTGTAGCCAAATAAAACTGAAGCTCAATCAAAGGTGTTGGTGTGAGGGTATACATATACTAACACTCTACTATCTACAATACATTTTGATTATAGAGGGGATCTCTTTTTTTTTTGGAGGTTTATACATTTGATCCCATGCATGCATCTAAATCTCTCCATGAATGTTTCATGCACCACGTCATCAACCGATTTTAGTTTTTTGAAGGAATCTGTCACCCTTGAGTGTTCACATGTGAGTAAGTGCGAAGGAAGTATACATCTCCTTTTGCCGGGTGATTTTGATACATGCGGCATATTTTGGTGAAACCTTTTTTTGCACTATGTTCTCTCGGTGCCCAATGATTTTTTTTCCATGTGTATTTTGAAAGAACATCAACATATAACAGTAACTACGTTTTGTCCACATCTTTCTGTTTATTTAGATTCATCCATGCAACAAGTTTGTAGACCGACGATCCTTTGACAGCCACAGGCAAGCGTTCCACGATAGGGCACGTTTCTGTAAGATTGAATGCAGAGATTCCCCAACAGGCATCGGATGTCCTCGCATATATAAGACTTTGGTAGCGAATGGTTTCACTGTTCTTGTGTTGCTCGCTCCGTTCTCCGATCATTGCACGATCATGCCCTTTAAACCACCAGTTCACACGAGGCTAAATTGACGAGCAAAAAGTTACACGGTTTCGAGCGTGATTGCTACAGTAACAGGCTGAAAAGAAAAATGAAGTACTGGCACGAACCTACCTTGCAACTCAAGTGTTCTACCTCGTGCCAACGGATGGCACCGAAAAGACAAAAAAAAAAAAAAAACTATCAAAATCAATGATGAACAAAGGTCGTCGTCGTTTCATTAAAAAAACAGAAAAGAGATGTAGGGGATTGCCCATATCCGATGGGAGGGTGGACAGTCCCCCAGACAGGAGCAGACCGACCTCAGGAGAGACTATTGCATTTGTTTCAAGGAATGGACTAAAGTGGACCAAGGAGTGCCATTGCGCTAACCCACAGAGTTCCCGGACCCGTTCCCTCCTCATCAATTGTCATTAGTAGATATGCAATGGTATGGTGCTGAATAGGCGCAGCTGCATTGCAGAACTCTTGGGAGGGTTTAGGGGATTTCAGTAAAGTAGACAGACAAGCCTTTTGGAGGGCGTAGGATTGTTAGGGGAAATCCATAGAGATCAACAGTCGATACATGTAACAACTGACAGTCACACAGCTGAGAGGAGCAACCAGCGACGGATTAGGCACACAAGGCCATTCAGAGGACTAGTTATAACAGGCTAACTTAGGCAGGGGTGAGGGGTGGTACATCTTTCCTTTTGGAAGTAATCAATGTCGTCCACTCGGGCTTTCCAACCATAACGGGGAGGAGCGTAGGGTGAGTAAACATTGTACTTTCCATTGACTTGTCGGGGGAATAGGAACCGGACTGTTGCTCCCCAGAATGGTAGGAGCTAGAACCAAGAGGTTCTGAAAAAAAAAAAAAAAAAAAAAAAAAAGGGAAGCCATCCGACCTAGGGCAACTCACAATAGTACTGTCCAGAATGTACCTGACCACTATCATGGCCAAATCATTGTATTTTCTTTATTTTTTTTACCGTTTTTTCTCTTGTAGTGCCCTGCCTGCATGGCAGGGCGTATTCCAGCTTCTTAGGAAAGACCCTCACTGAGGGCATACTCACAGTACTCCTTTCCAGACTGTATCTGACCGGTATCATGACCATATATTTCATTCTTTCTTTATTTATTTTTCCTATTTACAGTCTTTGGAATGTTGTCACTCAGGGCATACTCACACTACAACTTTCCAACAAGGCAGGACATCTTAGTAAATACTACAGTCAAGCCCAGTTTCTCATTTGTTTTCTTGTGTTTTTTTTTCCAGATTTCGCTTTCAATTCTTTTGGGCCCACCAGTCTTTTCCCTCCAAACCTGCGCTATGCCGGATCACTGTACATCTTACCACGGTCGCAGTGTACTGCATTTTGGTGAATAGTAGGGGTTCATGAACTAGTGGTTTAAATAAATAATTACACGAACATTTTATGCATGTTGCATTTGCACTAACTTTCACATTTATATGATTGTTATAAAAGATGAGAAGATACGCATTGCATGAAACAACAAACGAGGTATCATCTTCATTCCGACATATGACAAATTTGTATCTTCCTTTGCTTTCGCGTATTTATCGGTAAGTCGAATTTTTATTGCCTCCCAGATAGTACTGCCTTTGAATTGTTTTGGGAAGCCTTTTGTAAAAACACAACCTTCCATGCATTATTGTGTGGATCCTCCTTTCCTACACTTGTTATGCATAATGAATTTCATCACCCTGTCTCGTAGCTCACCGTCAAACGAGATTTTCGTTGAGATGATTTATCTACATCTTCTGGCATTTTGAGTGTCTCTTTGCGGGCGAGGACTATGAGCATATGAGCATGAGAAGAGATCCTTTTTTTTTTTTAACTTTCCTACATATACATATGCAACTACCTTTCTGAATATCTGCTTGTCCAAAATTTCTACTTTCAAGCATTTATAATATCCACAAAATACCTAGGCCGTTTTCCCGGGCGCCCGGGCACCCAACTTCTGCCCGGGTACACGCCCGGGTGCCCGGCCGGGCATGACCCCGGGGCAGGGTTCCGGGCAGCCCCAGCGCCAAAAAAAAAAAATTAAAAAAAATAATAATAATAAAAAAAAAAATCCGAAAAAAAAAATATGTTGTGTAGGATTGAAATGCAAACCACTTTTGGCCTGAGGGTCACATTATGATTCCTGACAGAATTGGAGATAAAAAAGAAAATAACAGAATTACACAAAGACACCCCCCTTTAGACCCCTTTAGCCCCTTTAAAACCAATTTATACCCCCCTCCCCCCCCCCTTGACAGCCAACTCGCAAAAAACGAAATGGGCCCGGATTTGGAGTCCTCTGATAGAGCGCAGAAAACCGAATTTTNTTTTTTTGCACGCCCGGGTACCCCGGGCGTCAGACCCCCCCGGGCATCACGCCCGGGTGCCCGGCCGGGCGTGAGAATCTTCCTAGCAAAATACTTGTACCATGATGTCCAGTCTATTTGATGCACATTGTCCGGGTGGGAGTGCAACAGATATTTCCGACTAGTCTGTGTTGCAATTCATTGTGATGAACGAATCCGGTTTGCCCATCTTGCAGCGGACTATCATTGCATCTTGATATTTTTCATACACAAATCGAGGCGTTGTTGTAAATGATGATGAAAAACGACTCATTACCGAATTGAATTCGCGTAGTCATCCTTGCGCAATGGATCAGAAAGTGTTTGATACATTTATGCTCTGACTTGTGGTTGGTTTTTCCTAATATATGTAAGTCTAGGCTACCAACCGGGGTGACGGTTGCCTTCTTGACCCGGGCGGTCCGACCATCCCATCCAAAAAAAAAAAAAAAAAAAAAAAAGTCCGACTATGTTATGCAAAAAAATAAATTGAACAACTTTGTCTTAGGATCACATCAAAATTCCTCACCAAATTGCAAATAGAAAATAAACTTTAATAAAGTTAAACATTTTTTTTTTTTTTTTTTGCCCAACCGGGCAAGTGGTCCCGGGCCACTCTGGTAGCCTAGATGTAAGTTTCATTGCTTCCATTTTAGCGAATGTACCACAAACATGCTCTTGCTGCAAACTACCTGCCAAGAAAAGTGTTTTGAGTTTTGTGTCTCTTTCATGAAGGTGGAAAACATAAATTCTCTTGCAGTGAGTTTTGTTGGTCGGCTGAGTTCTGGAATATCCGGATAAACAAAACCGTCCATCTTCTCCGCCTAGAAAGAGCAGCACATCGTGTGCCTTATTGTGTTTTCTGACTTTGAGCAACTGTCCATTCTTTGTTTGTAGCACATTTTCCCCTGGTTGAGGATCATCAGATAGGAGGATACAAACCCCATTTATTGTACCACCGGGCATACTCGAGTATCGGTCTGACATCCGAATCGATAATCAAGAGTTTATCCTCAATCATGTCTTTCGGGATTTTACATGCTGCAATAAAATCCTGAATGTAAGGATTGTGTTGCATCGGAAGATGATACAACCACATTTGAAGAGCTTTGAGACGTTTTTTATCATGACATTTGATATTGTCGGGTAGGTCTATAAACCCCAATATGTTTGGTGCCCCATTTTCATGTGGACTGTGGATCATGCATATAGATTTGAGTATATTGTGGTCTTTCTCCTAGCGGTGCACGTGTGGATCATGCACATAGATTTGAGTATATTGTGGTCTTTCTCCTAGCGGTGCACGTAGTGGCTCAATTCTTATATACATCTGGCCCTAGATAGGCAGCATGCCTTTCCAACCTATGAGTTCTGCATTTCCTTCCACCAAATGTTCGGAGGTCAATGCAAGGGAGTTATTCATGTGGTGTGCATGCTTGCGAAGACAATCTCCATCCCCAGGTTTTGCTTCCCAAAGACTGATAATTTTGTATTTTGGAATTCCTTGAGGAGACATTTCCTATTACAGGCATATAGTAGCCCTTTTCTTACAACAAATCGTACCCCAATTGGTTTCGTGCTCCCATAACAGGGCATGGCAATGCAAGCATGGACTTTGATCTCCCAAGGTTATACCTTCGACGTCTATTGAATTGGTGAACATGTCTGGAGTTATGTGGAGTACACATGACACTTGAAGCATGTGTTGCTGCAGGTACATATTTTGTGAATCGCTCATGTGATCTATTTTCGTTGTATGAAAGGTGCAAGACCTCATCTATGTCCTGGAAAGTATCAATGGCAAGATACGACAGGATAAAATCTCCTCGTGCCGGAGGCATATGTTGAAAGTTACCATCGAAGTGGACCACCTCAGCGGGTCCGTGATAAGCAACTGGTTGGTGGTTAGTGCAGTCTACCTATTTCGTTCTTTTCGGTGTAAAACTGTTTGGTTGTGCGTGATTTCTAACATGTAGCGATTAGGCCAATCATTTTTTTGTGGCAGCATTGTGGAGTTTCAAGTTTGCTTGTTTTTTTCTTGTGTTATTTTTGTTTGTTGAATTATGAACAGGTAGGTAGAGCATGTTCATTGTTTGCAATATCTTCTTGTGTGGAACGCAACTGTGTCTGGGGGGAGTGTTCTGGATGTTTTCACATCCTGCAGTCTGTTTTTGTGGCGATTCTACCCATGGCACAGCAGGAGGAGCTCGAAGACCGGTGTTCTCTTCTCTTTGTGCACCAGGAGTTTCCCAGACGAAGGTATAGAATGTTGATGTTGCTGGTATAGCGTTCAAAGTGCTTTGAGGTCGAATGAAGAGAGGGGATGTGGCTTCTAAGTGACGTTGTGCACAGGGTAGACATGATCGCGTTGTTGAGGAGATGCGGGGTAAGGGTCAGGCAAAGCAAAAGGGAGAATAAAGATAATGACTATGAGCGTTCTTGGTTGTTTGAAAAAAATCGCAGTATGTTGGTGGGACATGGTGTGTGCGTCGGCTCGAAACGCATTGAGGGTATGCGCACGTGTACGGTGTATTTGAAAATAGATCCGCCCAATATAATTCACGTGTTGTCGTCAGTCCATGAATGTTACGGTGTTTGACCATTGTGCTTTCCCTACTCTCTCTCTCTCTCTCTCTCTCTCTCTCTCTCTCTCTCTCTCTCTCTCTCTCATCGCCGATCCTTTCTGTAGGGGGGGAGGAAGACGAAAGGCAAAGGAAAATCTCCAAATTTATGACCACCTATATCTTCAGTAATCTGTAAACCAACAAAATATTTTCCGTTATAAACTATTGCATAGTGACCGACAAATTTAGGCAAAATACAAGATCTAGGGGACCAAATTTTCCAACGTTGGAGAGAAATACATGAATGTTTTTTCAACAGACACGCAAATGCCATCTGACCTGTTGGTTTTTGGGGGCGATTCAATGACGGACCTAGCTAACGCGTTAAACACTCCACAACCACACGACACGTGTCTGAATCAGCGAGTGGACAACGTGGCAATCTCTCTCTCTCTCTCTCTCTCAATATTCTATTTGACGATATATATATATATATATATATATATATATATATATTGTCACATTGTGAATCAGAGCGCAAAAAAGGGAAAAGAAAAAAGGAAAAGGAAAAAAGGGGAAGGGGAAGGAGGTAAGGAAAGCTCCACCTGTTCATAACCTCTTACGTACAAGGCCAGCCACGTGGATGACAGGTTGAGCGCTGGCTGCCCCCATCCCCGTGTGTCACAAGGACCCACTTGCACGCAGCCAAAAGGCAAAGAGGTAAAGAAGGGGAGGAGGAAACCAAACCTGACAGGGAAAGAAAGATAGGGAAAGAAAGATA